ACCAACACTATGCGCTGTGTTGACTGTCGTTTTAGCACTACCCTCCCATTATTAACTATTAAGCACCTGTTAATGTCACCCTTAAAGAAATCCGCTCAACACCAAATGCGCCCACACTGACATGTTTTGACGACTATACAGAGTCATCAGAGTAGATCGCTGCTTCCGATCGTGAATCGGGTGTGGGCGACGTGCGATGACTCGTGAAAGATTTCAAACATATAGTATTCAAATATACTTATACATACATATGTATGTGTATTCAAAAAACTTGTCCAGCGTAGCGTATATGTATACTTATATTTAGTTTACGCAGATAAATAAAACTATCGCTGGTATCTATGTATGTATGTAAGTTCAAGCAATTTACCTGAACTTGAACTTGTGAGAGCAACGGCAGCACGCGAATCGGTTGGTGTAAAAACTGTTGGCAGTGCTGTTGTATTTTTTGTAGATTAGTTTAAAATACTGCACCAAAATACGTCGCATAATGTAGAAAAACTAATTTTGAAAATATTCGAAAACAAATATCTAAACAAAAACACATATTGCTTTGGCATTTGTTTTTAAAATTCGTCATTTCTGGCTCGTCGCTTTGTCGTTCTTTAAGCATATTTATGTACATATATATGTATACAAATAAATATATATGTATATTTATGTAATTATGTTCTAACTCGGACCAAAAAAGTGATTGTGAAAATATGTTTTCATTAATCATGCTTATGTAAACGATTTTGGCTTTTTTAAGAATTTGGAATTAAATAAAATATTGTTTTCTTTCTATAATGAATTTAAGTTACACTTGCAGATTGAAGATTAAATTAACAGAAATGTAATTATCTTTAAAATGACTTAAAACGGTGAAACCAAATTCATTTAAGCCTAAATAGTTTTGACTCTAATAGTTTACTCTCTAAACTTTAGAGGATACCAACTCGCCAAATACTTATTAATTTAAATTTTACCTTGTTCTTTATATTAATTAATTGAAGTTAGTATTTGAACGTTTGTTTTCAATTCCATGAGCCAATCCATTATCCGCATTATTTCAAGTGCTGATGTGTTAGAAAACGTATAACATTTAACTCTAAACAAAACAATATGTTTATTTTATCATACGGTACTCGAACGTGTAGACTGAAAACCTAATTAGACGCATAAATGGGAGCGTTTTATGTATGCAAATGGGCTATCGTGCTGTTTTAGTTGTCCACTTAAACTGTTTGTGGCCCCGCTGTTGATGAAGATTGCCCCCATTTAGTGTAAATATATACTTATACTATATATACTTACTACTTATTTACGTATTGCTTTTGTCTTGAATGCAAATGTACTCAACTTTTTGTGCACTGGGCCGAGAGCTGCGTTTAACAACTTTTAATGAGTTTTGTCTAGCCGCAGGCGACAGATACTTTATGAACATTCCAAGTTATCCTTTGTAGTAAATATACTTGACCCTTTATTTGTCAGATTTTGGTTACTGGCTTCAGACGAACTGCGAGCTTTTTGCTTTTTAAAATTTTGTCAACTGCTCAAATCCACTTTGGCAGATTAACGATGGAGCCATTGTTTATTGTAATATTTACACCGTAACCAACTACAAATACCTTCGAGAGTGTTTCGCAACGCACGCCTGGCCCCTACAAATATAAAATTTCAAACAAAACTTATCTAAAACGGCATCCATTTTGTTTATTTCTATACATATATACATACATATATATGTATGCACAAAGCTTGAGCTGATAAGCAATGCTAAATTTTATTTGTAAACACTTAAATAAATAAGATGTGTGTACTATTATATAGATTTACAGTTGGTTATGTTGCTTGGCGTCGACGTGCTTTTACAGAGTGTGCAGAAGGAAATATTTGGCAGTGGTTCCTTGATCCGGTACAAACTACTTTAGGTCAATTTATTTTTAAATTTTGTCTGCATCTACTGTGTAGTATGTGTTTGTTTATTCACCCATCAACCAATTCAAAAGTGCTCAAGTGCTAGAAAAGTTCATAAATAATTTACATTGTATTTATAGAGCTTCATTTGTCTTGTGCCTCAACGAGCACATGTGGGGTCTGTCCGTCTTGTCTGTCTGGTTATTGCATTAATTTTAATATTAATTGATTTCTGGAGAATCATTTTGATCCGTCGACCAATTCCAATGTCTGCATATGGTGTGAAGGGCAATGGACTGGTCTGAGGGTAAGACATTTTCATGGAATGAAATTGTTACGACGCATTAGAACTTTCCATTTTTTCATGTACTTTTTATCTCCATATATTTTATGTGTATGTACATATGTATATGGAAGTACTTTAATTCTACATGCAATCCAAATAATCATGTAGAAAAGCTAAAGTCGGGTGCCTCGCTTTTGACATACTCTGTACCTATTTATGTGTACAATAATTATAGAAATTTAAAAAAATGTATGTTCTGCATGGGTGCCTCGACCTCAAAATAATGTATGTAGTATGTGTACAATAATTATAAGAATTTAAAAATATTAAGAAAATTGAAAAAGAAATTTATGAAATTGTAATAATGCAGGTGGAGTACCCTTGCATGGTTGCCTCTTTCCATATTTTTGTCTGAGCCTTAAGGCCGTGTTTGTTCCCAGCTCCCTCCCCATAAGGTCTGCCAGGAGGATGTGGTTTACTAATAAATTGATAGAAAATGATTTTTTTTAATTTTCTAAATTATTTTCTTTTTATACCCTGTACCCAAAGGGTAAAAGAATGAAAGGTATCAGATCAAAAGGTCTGATTTCTACATAATTATTTAGGTGCAGTATTATTTTAATATCGTTAAACACATTAAAACCACATTCCCGTACAATAAATTTTATTGAACTGAAGCTGCTGTGCGGGTGACTTATTCAAAAGATTAAAATTTATAGACTTTCAAATAGTTTTCTTCAAATGCCTCGCCCAAAGATTATAAACACCTACGACACAAGAAACTAAATCATTATAGGGCACAAAAATGATAAATGTTCTATTTCTGAGCGTATATGCTTTAGATGTAATCCGACGTGCACTGTTTGATTTCGTGCATGCCAGCACCATGTGGCATGAATTAAAGGAATATTTAGCGGAGGCCATAGCGATAAAATGATTGAAAATTGCAACTGTAAAAATGCAAACAAATATTAAACGCAGAACGAAGCAAAATGGAGAAGTTTACAATGAAGGCTGTTGATTGTGGGTCGATGACGGCGATTGGGGGGCCAGCCGCAGCTGGAGCATAGAATGAGCTGGCATTTCCTGCAAATTTTTACATGCATACCAAATTGGCTTCTTGTGGTTGCCGGCAGCGGCATCGATAAGGAAAAAGCGAGATGCCCGCATTCGAATGAATTACAAAGCTCAGACAACTCCCGCAAATTATGGAGGCGCATGGCAGGGGCATCATAGACAATGGGCAAGGTGCTGAGATCGGTGGTTAGGAGCTTAGTAGACTAACTTATCATCAAAATGACATTATTTTTCTTCATTACATTCTGTCTAAAGTAATTTTTATTGTGCATTTCAACTACTCTGCAGATAACGTATATGTATCTGCAATCTATTAAAGGCAGGTACATTAAGCTGTAGATTTTGATTATGGTGTTAATATTAGGATCATTCACTTCTTTCACAACCAAACAAGAAATGCATTGGATAGCAATATAATAATCAAGAAACTGAACATAATAGACTGAGAGAAAATCTCAGTCAGACAGACATATCAAGAGAACTTCGAGGAATGATATGTTACGTACAAGTAGTTCCTTAAGAGTACAGTTCTTGACACTTTGTAAGAAACGCTTTCTTGGAATATACTTTCGCTTATCATGATCAGTTATTCGCCTTACGACTCATCATGCAGGCTCAATGATGATTAGAAAAAACAGAGGCCAAAAATCCCTGATCGGCGATCAAAGTGCATTTTCAAATATAAAACTTGATTCGAAAACAAAATAGATTTTATTAAAGATTTGTTTGATTTGTTTACTAATTGATAAGTTGTAAGTAAATAACATTTATTCATGTTAAACTGCAACTGTAATTATTCTAATATTTAATGATTATGTAACGTTTAAAAAGGGTATTTTAGAATTGGCGTGGTCCAACAATTAAGTTCTTTTACTTTTTTGTACCGCAATGAAAAGATTTCAGTGCTTATCCAGCAAAGAATAACGAAATAACTGAAGATACTTTGTAACATGAAGCTGGATGATATGGCTGAATTGTTGCTGTTGTTGTTGTAGTTCTTTATCCTTCTGTCAACGACTCGAGCCGTACAATGAACTTAAATTGTGCTCGCCCTTTCGCAGCCTTATCATTTATTGTTGCCCTTCTTCGTTTTTATAAACGTTCTCTTTATGGACAAATAAAAAAAATGTGCGGTTATTGCTTTTATGTGACCGTTCACTGAGTGTGTGCTGGGTGGGTGGTGTATGTGCATGTGTGTGTGTGTTGGGTCTCTTTTCGCAAAAGTACTCTGCCGTCTGTGAAGTGTCTGCCAGCGCGCTTTCAATTAACGAAGCAAATGACACGACGACTTCTGGGTAAAAATTCTGCGCTAGACAATTTTCGAATGGCAGCAAATGTAAAGTCCAATTAGAGGCAAAAATGTAGGCATGTTTATTTAATGTGGCTCACAACTAGGCCGTTTTACACCCGCCCAAATAAATATAACCCGCCTGACCCAGTTTCTATCATGCCATCTGTATGTTTGCTTCTTTATGGCAATTGTAGCATGAAAGCGAAAGTTTTGCAGCAAATGAGCGCTCGTGCCCCGCGGCAATGACATCAGCTAAAGCAACATCAACAACTACAAGGGTAGATAGCCAAATGCATCTGCAAGATAGTTTTGTCTGTCACTTGTAGTGTGTTATTCGAAACTAACGAGCATCTAGCTAAGCTTTTGAAACTTTCATGTTTTAATTATATGTAGATTTTACTTCATATTGTATCACTAATTACATGATTTTATTTTTGCACTTTGTAGGCGTCCCTCAAATCTGTCCGTAGTGTGGACCAGACGATCCAGACGTGTTGCCAGCGCGCCGCTGCCCTGGGAACCAGATATGATGAATCCGCTGGTCGGTAATATATCTTGGCCTGTGCCCGATAATCACGCCATATCGGTTACATTGTTCAAGGATCCGCGCACTCACGAACTGGAGGATAAGGACTGGACGTTTGTCATCGAAGATGTAAGTTTAATGTTTGTGGGTGCGTGGGGGTATATGTGTGTGTTATGCCATTGACGGTAACCTTGAAGCTTCGAAAAAAACGACAACGTGCCGATGACATGGTGCAGGCCTCCAGTGGGGCCGCCTGTTCAGGTTCATGCCGAACAACTGTAATCATTTCAATTATACTTCAGCACGCAAACTAGCAAAGGTCATGACAGACGAGTAGCAAGCCATTTTCTTCTTGAAGGCACAGCCTTGCCAACTACATACTCGTATGTGGTTTATGTCCAGGCTTATGCAATGGTAAAAGGCTACTGGAGGAATGATACCCCCCAATGATTCAATAAGACGTCAGATAAGACGTCCTGATTGGCCATTACAAGTGTGTTTTTTGTGCGACAACTTTTCGCTTGAAAACTAATTAGCTTAAAGAAATTTTTTTGCCAAGCAAAAATTCAGTTTAAATGGCTGCAATTTGCTTTCTGCCTTTTCAATGCCACCACCCACTTTACTTTCACTTCATTTGCATTTGTTGGGGCTCCATGAACTTTTCTGACGTCATCTAAAACTTCCGCTAGCCATAAATCTTGAGAAGAAACAACAGTGTGTGTAAATAATAGCGTACGCCCATTGCAATTTTGTTCACCCTCCTTCAATGCAAAGAAATTTAAAAATAAATTATTATTACGAACGAGACGAAGTAACGCATTGTCATGGAGGCGTGTGTAGTTTACAGTTTGCCAAATTGTCGTGCGAGTTAGGGATGACCGCGTGATCGTGACTTGGGGAGAACTATTTATGTGCTTATTATCAATGTGCAATCGAAGTTATTGTAATGAAAAAATGTAACCAAAATATAAGGAAATTCTTATGCTTCATTCTGACAATTTCATGAATATTAATCATAAGCATGACGTATCTGAATATAATTAACAAACTATGTATTTTGTTGACAAAGTAAGACGACTTTTGAAGAGACGTACGTCTAGTCCGGTTGGAAGCATTCTATTCATAATGGTCACGTTTTTATTAACTTTTAATCAACTTAAAAGTTGTTAACAAAAATTTTATGTTTGTGATAAAATTGCTTTAGCCTGTGTTAGTGAAACACCTAGAAAGTGAAATGAATTTTATAGTGCATATATCTATTTTCACTAAAAATGTATCAGTGCCAATATATCCATTCTCGACTGTATTTAAATTGAAACGCTTTTTTTATAACTCAATTTGAAAAATCCATTGTGTGTAATGGGACGACTGCAAGAACTTTCGTATTTTCATGCCACTTCAATTACTCAATGCACTAGTATACTGGCAATTGCCATAAATGACAATGACAATGATGACGATAATGGAATGGGATGAGGCATGGGCTTCTGTGTCAACTGCGGGGATAAATGGGAAACAGTTATTGAAGATTTTCAATTTATTTGAGTTAAGAGGTTTGTGGGTGTGTTATGCAGATTGCCCATTGACCAAAGGTAAATTGAATATTTCTTCTCTTCCATTCCATTTAGATAACACCCCTCGGCAAGAAACGTGTGTTGGCCAACGCGAGCATCAATATGCGAAAATATGCCAGCATCGAGTCGACGGCACAAAGCTTTACGCTGAGCCTGAAGCCAGTCTCAAGGAAAATAACTGCCGCTGACTTAGAACTGACAATCAGCTGTGTCTTCTTGCGCGAGGGCAAGGCCACGTGAGTACATCAACATCATTTATTAATAGGTTGACTTATTGTTGATGGGTTCCTTATAAATTTTTCCAGTGACGAGGACATGCAGAGCGTTGTTTCGCTTATGTCAGTAAACAATAACTGTGATGTTGCGCCGCTCGATGATTTGGAAGACATACCCGATTTGGAGAATTCGGGCGATCTATCAGATCACCTATACGGCTACACACAACAATTGGAGCAAATGACAACGAGTTTGAATGGCTGTATGGACATGCCCACGCCATTGAGTGGTAAGTCAATTAGTTTTTCATAAAATCCACACATATACCCATTAACTCGATTGTGTACTTGTGGACTAACTAGCTAGTAGTATGTATTAATGTGTCGTTGTCAGTATAACTAATAACAATTAGATACGTGTACGTAATAGCTGTGAGCGATAATTTAAAATTGAACTTAGACCTTCTGCACTTAATATTATAAATAGTTAAGTCTTACTTAATAAAATTGCTCTACAACTATATTTTTAGTTCTGTTTACATGATTTGTAGTATAAAATAATAAGAAGATGAGTAGAAAACATTCTAGTCGATATTTGGTGCTGTAAACAATTAGCTGGAAAAATATCTAGGTCTTTTGTTTATACAAATTTAGATAAAAGTAGATTAATTAAAAGTTTGATGAGGTGTTTTTATTTAAGATGACTGAATTATTTCTTTGAATACTCTCTTGTTAACTGGTAAGATTGTAAAACTAATAACAACATTGACCCAGATCCATGTATACGAGCTATTCAGTGTAGTATATGCTATATGTGTAGTGTCTTAATATTAAGAAGTTGTTGTAAAAAGGATTATATTTAATTTACTTGCCAGTTTACCAGCTTAACCACTGACTAAATTGATAAAAAATCGTAATGTAAAGGGTGCTTTATATATGTTAAGTGTATGGATTGTAAGTTGCTCTTCATTATAGGTTTAGTCAGTGGCCAATACAAGTATATAGTATGTCCTGTTTGTTACCTACCTACTCGTATCTATGTAAATATTTGTACTAAACAATGTGTTATAAACTTCTTGTTCTTTTGTTTATTTGTTTCTTCGTATGTTTGCTCTGCCCTAATATGAATACCCACAATACTACAACAACAACAACAATTAATTAACTGCTACAACAACCACTTCAACAACAACACCACCACCATGTTAACTATATGATTTGTGTGTGTAACTCTATGAAATATTGCTCCAATTTTGATTGTTATTGTACCAAAAAATCAACTATGTAGTACCTTCTTTATCCGAAGATCCAACTCCATTGGCCGAACCATTTAATCATTTGCATTTTGAATTAGAAGCAGATCGCGATGCAGCAACAGCAGCTGTAGAAACAACAACAACAACTACAAAATCATCTTCAGCTTCGGGACATCAGCTTACGCTAGTTGATGCTGATGAGTCCCTTAAAACCCCCAGTGGGGGGCAACCTTTGGCCGTCAGTACACCTGCAAAAACAAATGCCCCTGAGGAGCAAGGAAGTGGAACACCAGCTCCTAAATCCAAGCAGCCGGAAGTCTTCAGTAAAGTGCTAACCTCTACGCCAATAGAACATGCGACTGCGCCCATAGACAAGCCCAAAGAGATTCGAAGCAAAGGCAAGGCGCTCAGTTTTGACAAGGAGCAAAGCCAGAGCAACTTGGCAATGAAGGCAACTGTGCCACCCATAATGGATGGGCTTCACAAAAGCTATACTGAGCAGTCGACGGTCACATTGAGCACCAGCACCAGCGAAGCCAACAATCAGCCCGCAGTCACAGTCGCAGCCCCAATACCAACAACATTACACTCGGAGCAAACCAAAACAACGGACAAGGATTCATCAGCACTTTCGAGCGCCAAGCGAGCCGAGTTACAGCCGTTAAAATTAAAAAAGAGCTATGAGAACGTGCCCCTTAATAATAGCTCAGCCAATACCCTGAAGCCTGTAGAGAAGATTGTGCTGAAGGAGAATACGCCTGGGCAGGATTTGCTTGAGTGGTGCAAAGAGGTTACCAAAGACTATCACAATGTTAAAGTTACAAACTTGACAACCAGCTGGCGCAATGGCATGGCATTCTGTGCAATCATACATCACTTCGTGCCGGATTTGATGTGAGTATATATTTCAAAGAGGCGACATGCCTGATCTCTGTTTCTGGTCAAAATTGAATATAACATCATTCCTCAGTCTTTTAATTTCGGGCGACGATATGATTCCTTTCGAAACAAAAATATGAAATTATATATGTAACCTGAATAATATTTAACTGAAAAGAAATATGGGTTAGTAAGCCAACTAGAATTTATTAATTAATTAAATTAAATATAAAATTTACCATACATACATTTACATCAAAGCAGCAACAAATACTACTGCGGATACAGCTTGGGCCTGGTTATATGGCTATAACTTTCTTTCTGATCAACCTATCATAATGAAACGTGCTGTACGGATATATAATCACTAAATGGATGACTACCAAATTTTAGTTCAAAATTCCCTTTGGGTACAGGGTATAAAAACTAGGTTTTTCAACTAACGAAAAGCTTCTTTTTTATGTTTTTGGTTTCCATCTGAAGTTACATCAAAATAAAAATAGTTTATATATTTTTTTCGAAACGTCCTGCTATAATCTGGGATTTCATAAAAATCGTAACACTATATTATATAGATTCCGTACGAACGATTGCTGCAACAAGGTGTATTCGATGTGAATCAATGTTACGAAGAGTAGGGTATTCAAGACTGTACCATTCAACTTCTTTTTATTTGGTCAGTAGCTATGAAAGCTGTTTTTAATTTTGAAGTGAATATTTAAAATAAATATTATGACCTCCTTGTCCGAAAGATGATCGTTTATAAACTTGGAGGAACTTCGACTTAACGTTTCATTTCTTTATGGTCGGTCCACAGAGATATGTCAAAGTTGAGCGCCCACGATGTGGTGGGCAATTGCCGAATTGCGTTCGATGCGGCCGAATCGCTTGGAATACCACGTGTGATTGAGCCGCGTGACATGAATCTGCTCACGGTGCCGGACAAATTGGCTGTGATGACGTATTTGCATCAATTGCGTGCGCATTTTACTGGCAAGCAGCTGCAAATTGAGCAAATTGGTAAGCGCAAATGACAGACCACAGATACAGACAGCACCAGAAGCAGAACTAATAATTTATACAATCTATTTGTAGGCCCCACCTCTGACGAGTCCAGTTACGTTATTGGCAATTACAAATCGGACAATTTATCGCAGAATTTATTCAATTTCTCGCATCTGAAGGCCCAACTATTGCATCAGAATTCGCTGGACGAAGACATATTCGGGCTGGATAAAGCGCAGCAGCTACAGCTGTCGCCCACGTCCAAAAAAGATGTCAAGAACCTTATACTGTCCAGCTCGAAGAGCATACTGGGAAAAGTTTTATCGCCTACGAAGGATAAGAACTCAATAAATGCATCGCAGCATATAAATCAGACGCCCACATCCCAACTGGGCAACCAGACACCACCGTCAACGTTGGAAGGCGGTGTCGATGGTGACGAGACAACAACGGCGCCGCAGCAACATCAGTCCAACAACAAAGAGCCTGCGTCGCCCACATCCTTGGATCCTCTTGCGGCAAATGTGAGTACCGAGAGGACAAAAAACTCAAGTGTTTTTATTGGAATGTTGTTGCTTAGCTTTAAGCTTTAGCTTGAGACACGTTCAGCTATTGCAAGCCTTGTTCTTTTTAATTAGGCCTTGTTTTTACGTTAAAGTAGTAGTTTGCAGTTTTTAGATCAAAGTATCTAATCGATTGTCCAAAACAATGGGGTCCTTTCAGTACGAAAAATGGTGTTGGATCTTTTTAATGACTAGTGTTAGTATCTAGAAATTGAAAGTATCCCTTTGCAGTCTTACAACAAATCAAAATAAAGTAGCTCCCTTTAACATTACATCTAAAGTGAATAATACAAGGTGCGTTCCAAAGTAAACAGGACTTTTTGAATCTAGCGCCCCCTGGTGGCGCTATCTATATGTCGACTGGTGCGTTAGAATCTGCTTTCTTTATCGATTGTCCAGTGAGAATTTCATGACATTTCATCGATTGGAAGTGAAGTTATTGCGTTTTAAGTGTCAGTATGTTTGTGTTATCGGTGCGAAAATGAGCTTCATACAAAGAGTCAACATTAAAATTTGTTTTAAAATTGGTAAAACTTTTACCGAAACGTTTCACTTGATGGAACAAGTTTATGGCGATGATTGCCTATCCCGTAGCAAAGTGCACGAGTGGTTTCAACGTTTTCAAAGTGGTCGTGAGGACATAAATGACGATCAACATGTGGGCCAATCAAAATTCGTGATCATCGAAACTGCGTGAATTCATCAAAAATCAGCCGAAATCATCATTGAAATTGATGGAAATGGTATTGCGGTATTCTACCTTGGAGTTTTGAAGCGTTTGGTGCGCTGTATTCGACGTGTTCGGCCCGAATATCGAGAAAATGAAAGTTGGCGTTTGTTGCACGATAATGCGCCGTTCGATCGACGATTGTGACCGATTATTTGACAAAAAAATGTAACCACTCGCCGTATTCACCTCATCCCGTGCGACTTCTACCTTTTCGGAAAAATGCATTTGCCCATGAAAGGCAAGCGTTATGCAGGCGTAGAGGCCATTCAAAAGGCTTGCACCGGCATACTGGCGGCCATACCGGCCAACGAGGTAAAACACTCGTTCGACATGCTTTTGGATCGTGCAAAAAGCTGTATTGACGCAGAAGGAGACTATTTTGAATGAAATAAATTGATTTTGCCGAAAAAACCATTTGTTCTGTTTTTTTTTACTTTTTTTACCTGTTTACTTTGGAAACCACCTTGTAGTATTTGTAAAAAATAAAATATGAAAATAATATGAAGGATTTTAATTGACAATGAGAATATATTGAGTGAATAACTATTAAAACTTTCAATAAATTCAGGTTTGCTTATGCTTCGGTTAGACAGGCAAAGACTAACTGACTGACTGATTAATAATCGGAGCACTATTATTGTTTAATCACCTTCTAGACTTTCACTGATTTTTTGACACATACTCTTAAATGAGGAAAAATGAGGACTACATTGTTAAACTTCTTTTGTCCCAGAACTTTTCAATTTGCCCGTGATGTACATTATTTGTTCTTGTTATAATCATTTGAGCATTTGATTACTCAGATCTTAAATGCATAATATCTTAGAAAGTAGGTATTTTTATTGTAGATAGCATTAATTTGTTAGTGCTAGTGCTTTTTGCTTTCAATTGAAATTTAATTTGCCGCTGTTTGTTTGGCGCTTTGTTTTCTTTTTATTTCCTTTTATGATTTTTGTAGCGAATTTTAATGCGCCACAAAGAAATGAGCGAAAAAGCCAAATTGATGATGGAAAAATTGAAAATTTCCAATAGCAACGAACGCACCGATGTGAACGACGTAAGTAGCAGGAAGGCAAAGCTTTTTGCTTTCCATTTTATTTCTTTGCATGATAAGTTGTTCCTGCACATTATATTTTTTCCTATTTGAATCGAAGAGGATTTCCTTTCTATTACTGATTGATTATTGTTTGACAGGAGGATCGACAGCAGCGATTACGCGAGCAAGCACGTCGTCTGATACTGGAAACCCGGAGCAAGCATGCGCCCAGCAATGGTGTCGATAGCCCCACGACGCCAACCAAATCCAAGCGCTTTAACTACACACCGGAGCGCACCATCTCACCTATACCTAATGGCGAGGAGTTCTTTGGCGACTCGCCAACGAAGAAGATAACCCCGCCGCGGGATGTATCTGAACAACAGCAACTGCTTCAGCATGGCAATAAGCTAAGTCCTAGTCATAGATTAAGCGAACGATACGGAAACGGCAGCGCCAATGGCAGTCCGTTGCACTCGTTTCATGCGGTCATGGAACGCATTTCACCAAAGCACGAGAAGAGGGTAAGTCGCTTACTGTTTGAGTTGGGCTCGCATTAATATCTGATTTTCAGGGCGATAAGCTGTCCTATATTGAGTCCGAACTGGAAGCCTTAGAACGGGAACAGGAGGCCATTGATCAAAAGGCGAGCAGTCTGGAAGGGAAACTGCGCGCAGTCATGGGCGGCAATCCAAGTAATAATCGAGCGAGTAGAAATCCATTTCTTAGGCTAATACGTAATAGCATTGGTGGTGGTGACGTCATACGTATTAAGCTGCTCGATTCAGATGATGAGAGCTTGTTCGGCAGCGGTGCAGGCGGTGCGGGTACAACCACCGATGACGATAATGATGATGAATTCAGCGATGCCATTTGCAGCTCTGGCGATGATGAAAATCGACAAAATCAGCAGCTTAGAAGGCGACGTCCCGAACGTACACCGCCTGCTAGACCACGCTCCCAATCCTGTTTCCATCCAACGCTTAGTCCCACAAACGAACGCCATCATTCAAACCATCCGCATCAAATTCATCGTGGCCATCATGTACATCATGTTGTGCCCTATAGCCATCTGTTGAGTAGCTCTGCCTCGGCTGCCTCATCCCAGCAATCCTCCTGTGATAACCTGCAAGCTTTTAGCGATGACGATGTAGATGCTGTCGCCGTGGCAGCCACAGGGCATGCCGCCTCCATAAGGCGGCGACGCGATCGCCACAAGCGTCGTGAGCAGCAGCAGCGTAGACGCAGTCAGTGCGGTAAAGTGCTAAAGTGCAACGTCCTCCTTTTCCACCGTAGAGTGCAATGAGTTTGTTAATACCGCTTTACGCCAAATGCCGCTCCAACAGCACGCCAACGCTTCACGCCTGCCCGCCCGCTCGCTCGTTCGTTCGATCGCTCGCTCTATCATCTCTGTGTTTTGTTTGTTGTACATTTGTGTTATGCGCTTGTTAGCATTAGACATTGAAATTCACTCTAACGTGAACTTACCTCTATGTGCCGTTTTAAATAATGTATTCACTTGGATTTGTTTCTAACTTCTTTGCAAATCTCTAACCAACTATACGCAACGATAAGAAAACAAAAACCACTCACTAATCACAAATTCTTCGCTCTGCCTGCAGCCGCAAGCAAAGCATTTGTTTTAGCCAGCAGCGAAATGTCCAACGAAATGTATAATAGTTCTTAATTTAAAATTTGCTTTAATAGCTCTATATAACTTATAATCACATTGTTATTATAATTAATAGCACGATTGTTACTAAACCCCTATACTCATCGATTACTTTGTACTCGCAGAGACAGAAGAAACGGAGGAGCAACTGCTCTCCCAATGGTTCACGCTGGTCAACAAGAAGAATGCCCTGCTGAGACGGCAAATGCAACTTAACATTCTGTGAGTAGCCGTCGAATTATCAATAAATGAATGAACAACTTCCAAAAAGAACGTTTTTTTGTGAATAACCATAGCATCATCAATATTATTTCAATAGCTTGAATAACGTTTCCCTTACTTTCGTAGCGAACAAGAGAAAGATCTGGAGCGTAAGTTTACGATGCTAAATCAAGAATTGCGTGCTGCACAGTCTGTGGAGGATTGGCGTAAGACGGAAGCGCAACGTGAGAAGGAGCGTCTGCTTTTGGAGGAACTGGTGGCAATCGTGGACAAACGAGATCAATTGGTGCAACATTTGCACAATCAAGAAATTGCGTAAGTAGATGAGAAGGAACATAAATTTTCCAACCTAATCCATTGTATTTTTTTCGGATATTAGTATTGAGGACGACCACGAAATAGCACGAGAGCTGGAGCAGGTGGACATTAGTGGCGCCAAAGATAAATGTGTTATACAATAAACATATGCTTGCGTTTCTGGATTTAAAATGTGTGCTCTAGAAAGGCGCCCAATGTTAACCCATATGACTGGAGATTATACTTATAGTAACATACGTACATACAAATGTTCGTAATCGTTTTATAACTCTGCGGCCCCTGTTGTTCATTTGTGTGTATGTACTTACAATATAATGTGCGTGTTGCATTCAAATAGTTTAGTTAGAAAATTGGGTCGAGTTTGTCTGTAAAGGAAGCACACAGCGCATTTCGCATGATGTTCATAAATTAAAAAAAGAAAAAAATAGTTTGTGCAAAAAATTCTATAAAGTTCTTGAAAATGTTTAAATTACTGTGGCAAATAAAAAAAATATATATAAATATATATATATGTAAACAAATAACTGTATTTGTAAATCGAATTTGAAATTTCGAAAATCGTAACGTCCGTTAGAAACATAAGCAAAGCAAACAAATACTTTTCAAATATAGTGAAAACTGCTGATAAATGGAAATACCAAAAAGATAATTATTAAATGGTATGAATGTTAACCAACAAATCCCAAATTTTGAATCATCTATTTTTCGCTTCTCTTTTGTGCCATTTGTTTTGGTTCACAAGAACTTTTGAAATGTACTGCGTATTTTTCGCAAATACTATATTGAAAAACAAAGACCCAACTGTGTGATCTAATTGACGTATTCTATTATTTATTATTTTAGTTCATCAAAATTAATTTTATTATAAGCAGCAAAACCCGAACCAAGAAACGCTTTAACCATAAGATTTGTATAAAATAACAGTTTGTATAAAATTTAATTTGCTTATTTAGTTTAGTTTTTAGTTCATCCATAGCGCTTTAACTATTTTACTATGTTTATACAAAAGATTATTTAAACTGTCGTAATAAGTCGCCTACAGACCAAGAAATTGCAAATCCAACTGAACTGTAAATGTGCTACTTAAACTAAATGTAATTTGACGACAAGATCTAAATAAAAACATTTATTGTGAAATCGGTTAATAATTACTTATTGAGTATATGTATGTATGAAAATATACTACATGTTCGAACGATCTTGGCTCAATGTCTTACAATGCACTTAAATTCTAAACTCAACATACCAGGCGGTACGATATGTACCGACCTGCTGTCTCCGAAGAGCGAATGATCTTCACAACCTGGCCACGCTTGAGGCCAAAGTAACGTGCCACCGGATCGCCTGCCTGTATGCGCATCAACATGTTCTCTTTTAGCTTGTATCGACTGAGAAGCTCCTGCTTCTCCTCCGCTGTCATCACCACATGCTCCGGCACCAGCTCGTGCTCTGTAATGTTAATTAGCAGTTCAGACTCCAGAAACTGTTCAAGTATGTATTTGGGCGCCATGTCCACCAGCGATTGTTTTGCCGACGGCGTCATTCCTCCTTGAACCACAACGATCGCTCGATGAATGTTTTCCTCCTGCATACGCGTGCAATATGTTTTAATTGTCTTGATGCCTATTTTCGGCTCCTCCGGAAAGAAGACAAACATTTGGTCGGTAGGGTCATCATTGTGAGCCACAAGGACTATCAAGTCGGAACGTGACGGTCTTTTCTCGCTCGGCTTGTCTCCAAACATTTCCTTAAACTGTTCCAGCGTCTGGTCCAACTCATCCTGGGTCACAAGATAACCGCGGTCGTGACTCAATTGCATTATGGTTTTACGGATGCGCCACAGCTTGTACGTTTCTGCCTCATCGTCCATTTTGCAGACAAAATTATCTCGATTTTACTAAACTGTGCGCAATAAACGTGCTGTCAGTTTCGCCGAATAGCGATGGGATACCTAACGAGAACCACCACCATCAACATAGTGATTAAATCACATATACTCGATAAGTGTAGTCACAGTCGATTGTTTGCAGCCATCGAAAATAAAATATTTTCACAGTGGAAGTAAAGCCAAATTTTATAATATTGCTTGACAACCAAGTCCTTGTGACCCAGAGTTGATTAAATTTTTCCATACATAATGCAGACGTCGGACCTATACGCTGGTGTTGTCCCATCATAATACCCACGTGAGCCGCATAATAACGGACTACTCGGTTTCACCAAAACTCTCCTCACTAACAGCAAGCACTCATGCTAAACGCGACGAAAACATAAAAACCGTTACCATCAGTGTTTTATGTTGTTTTTTAATATTTATATATATATTTGTATATATCGACAACAGTGTTTCTGTGTCACATATTTGTTTTGTGAATATCATATTTACATATGTATTTGTTTTGTGTTTTGCTGTACTGAATAAATATTTGAAGCAAACATAACACCTATAAAAACCAATGGTGCAACCTCAACCGACTGCTATGAAATACAAGAGTTAACAGTGAATAATTTCAATTTAACAATTAGTATGAATGAGTTTTATATACATACATATGTATGTATATAGTATGCAAAATAAAAAAATATGAGTCCAGGTAAGTTTCATGCACGGTATTTTGGTGTATAAATTTGAAAGTTATACATATGTATGTGTGTATAAATACATATATGGGGATATAGGCGCAGCGCTTAACAAGAGAAAAAACGTGATAACATAATGTTTAAGAATCTGTTGTGATATTATTTTAATTTGATTGAAAATTTCCTAGGAGGTTTCTTTCATGAGGTAAGAAACTCTTATGCGTTGTGATAAATAAAAAACCGATTCACCCTGCAAAAAATGTATGTACATACATATGTGATTTTACTTGTAAACCTTTGTATTCAATTTAATAATTACATATTCAAAAATATATATTTACACGAATTAGCTTACAAAATGGGAAATCTGAAAGCTTACGATTAAGTGCACTTTAATGGAATTTCCTTATTATTAATATTTGAGTAATTTTAGTTATATTCTCGAATGATCTATTAATCAGCTATCATTCTAGCACAAATGTGGTCTCAGTATTGCATTTTTGTAAGAATGTACAAATATCTGGAAGATATGTGGGGGGTCTCCCCATTTCTTCCTGGAAGATTTTCGAAAGTATTCGCTACTACTTTTTTTTTTAAGCTATGTATCTGTTGGAAGTAATTTGGAAGTGGTTTTCTAACTAGTTACATTCAAGGAAGTCAAATTTATGTTTTCGCCGTCTCCACTTCAGGATGTGCCACATGTTTTGCGGCAGCAGCTGCCAATTCCGCTTGCCGTTGTTCCTCCTCAAGTTCTAGGCGTTCCACTTTTCTAATCTTGCTAAGTTTCTCTGCGAATGAAAAAGGTTGTTAAAAATGTAATTTTGGATATTAAAAGCAAGCACTCACTTGCACATTTAAGCATTATTGTGCCCCACCATATAGACCACCCCCAACCAACAAAGCAGAAGAGCACACAAAAGAATTGAGCCACAGCCACAATAATGTTGATTATGAAGGAGCCGATGCGAGCCCGTGCGCTGTCATATTGGGAGAAGCGTGGAATTCCCACACATAGACAAAACAAGCCAGATAGTAGGGTGCCTGAAAAAAATACCCTCTTAATAAATATTCAGAGCTTTTCGAATGGTGTCTTGGCTTACCCAGACCGGGGAAAACTACATTGCAGAAGGCGCATAGCCAGGCCAAATATAAAGGCAGCACGGGAATGGCACCCTTCATTTTTGATGTGTACTCCACGAGATCAATGTGCAGCTTTCGTCGAGTGTCCTGCAGAAATAATAAAACAATCAGAAAAGAAAATTATGTTTATGCACCTTGTCTACAAGGAAAAACTCGCTACTATACGGGTGTTTAAACAAGAATTAAAAAACGAATTTATTGAACTGCTGCGCCTTTACGACATGGAATAAACGATTTATATCACACAGACCCACAGATATAAAATCAACAATAATAATAATGTATAGCACATACTAAATGCATGACCAACTCACTACCACGGCCTGATAGAAGTAGGCACCTCCTTTTTCTCAAAGAAGACAACATTTATTTGTTTATAGGAGCTAGCTCTAATACTGCAGCCATTGCTGTAATAGTCTAAATCGTGTGATTTATTTGTTTAAACTTTTCTATCTTTTAAGATCAGATGACTGAAAAGGTGATACCGTCCGGGCGTGCTGCACTTTGCGGCTATCTGTCAATTTGTGTTAAAATGTAATTGAAGTAATTGACAAAAAAACACCTACAACTGTTTCGTTCGGAAATGCATGCTCCGCATATTCATCATAATTAATGCCGGGTCTAATACTTACTTCACTAGTGGGCGGTGCCTTGATGCTCTGCCGTCGTGCATCCGATCCTCGGCGCGGCTGCTTACGACAACAAAGCATCTTTTGCAGGAAACGTTTACAGCAGCCCCTATAGATAGAAAAAATTGAAGAATAAATGCCAGATCTCAGTTAGTCCATCGGTAACTTACGCTTTTGGCAAGGTGTCTTCTGCGGGTGTGGCGCCTTCCAGCACTGCCGCATCCGTTGCTCTTATACCACGCTCCGGATCCTGCCAAGCTACAGATCCACTTTGGGCGGCACGCTTGCGCCGACAGGGTATACAAAAACAGCATTTCTTCAGATGCGTCTCATCGCCCGTTGTGGGATCAACTTTGTTAACGGAGCGACAGCAAAAGACTTTGCTCATGAATAGGCCACATTTGCCCTGAGCTGCTGGTCCGGCTGTGTGTGGCATCGCCATCGACTGCGTTGGCATGGTGGCCGCCATTTTGCTGTGCGAACTGGTGGCACTTGCCGTTTCCGCCTCGTCCATGTCGCCTGAGTGCGTCATGGCCTGTGGCTGTTTCTTTCGACAACTCTTGCAGCAATTCAATTTGGACCAGCAACTTGACTTTGTTTTATTCTTTTCGTCGATTATTTGGAACTTGGTCGCTGTGCTGGCTGCGCTACTTCTGGCACTCGAGAGCACTGGTTGTTGTTCCTCAGGGGGTGTCTTGTTGCCGCCGCGACGGAAGCACCGGGAACAGCGAGACCGACGACAGGGCATGCAGAGCTTGCTGCAGCATCGGCAGCAGCCACGTCCACCACTCTCATCATCCTTTTCTTGCAAAAAGTCTTGGCTATCGGTTCTGTGAAGTTATTATATATTATTTAAGGATGTACCTATATGTGTACCGAGGGATATTATAATTTTAAAGTTTCATACATTCAACATGATATGATAAAACGATTTATAGTATGTTTGTCCGTATGAACCCCGAGAACTTTTTAACCATAAAAAAATGACACCAAACATGTTATGCACAAGCAGACCAAGACTATTACAAACCATTTGCTTCAATATTTTATATAACCACTGGACCAATCGGTCAAAAATCTTGAACATATCCGCAGAGTATAAAGTCCATATACTTGTAAACTCACAATAAGATTGAATCCTGAACTCAACCCTTGCTGGCCTTGACTAAATGCCAATATCGTGCAAGTGTGTATATAGTAAGTCCCTGTATGACTGCTAATTTGAATTATTATGGCGCTATTATGGCAGTAAGTTCAAAGTGAAACAATGAAAAAACAATCAAAGTAATGGCCGAGTGAAGGATAGTCGCCAACGATGTGCCTGCCAAGGAAAACATGTGTCTAAGGTCGTGCTTTCTGATGGCAATTAAATGAAATGGCTAGAACAAGGAGCCATATCGTTCTGTTTGTTGTCATCAAGGGTGGTCATACACTTTTTCAAGCTGATTAAAAACTTCACGTAATGGTCACATCGGAAGCTATGCCTTATCATTTGCATACTAAATCGATTTAACTGCTTTGCAAATCGCCTGCCTATCTATAACTTACAATTGTCGCTTGTAACTCCTACAGCTTTGATTTGAAATATTGCGTGTGCGTTATAATGCCAACCGAGTTGTTTACGAGTATATGCAGGTCGTTATTTTTTTATTATGCAAATTGTCGTTTCGTGCTCCTCTTGCAATGCTGCCTAGCCATAATTTTCCAGTGCATTTTATTCAATGGCTTTTGCATGTGACTTGAGAAAGGTGTGCCTGCCAAATCATAAATTTCAATTAGCATTGCTAATTTTTACGGATTTGCTTTTTAAAATTGCTGACCTGATTTTTCACGCTATCGCACATAAAATGGCAAAGTGCAGTTGGGTATACTATACTACTATATTTTAATTGAAACTATAAGTCAGTATAGGTCACATAATTTTTAATTTGAAACAAGAAAGAAATGCTAAATTCGAGCAGGCTCAACTCTTAAATACCCTGTGCCACCCCACAAAAAAAAAATTGTTAAAAAAATTAATTAAATTAAATATAAAATATTCCATACAAACATTTACATCAGAATCGTGTCTATGCGTGTTTGTGTACTTTTACATATGTATGTGTGCATTACACATTACATAATTATGTCGAAGCAGCAACAAATACAGCTGCGGACAGAGGTTGGGCTTGGTTATATGGCTATAATCAACCTATTATAAACTTGGTATACGTATATATAATCACTAACTGGATCTGACTAACAATTTTTAGTTCAAAATTCCAAGAATTACGGGAGTGGGGGGGAGTGGGCGGGTGCATCGGTAAAAATGAACAAACCCGTCATTTCTCTGGCTCAGGAGGATCTGGATACCAAGTTTGGTTATTCTAGCTCTTATACTTTCTGAGATCCTTGCGTTCATACAGACAGACGGACAGATGGACATGGCTATATCGACTCGGCTTGTCATCCTGATGAAGAATATATAGTATATACGCCTGCTTCTGTGTGTTCCATGTAAACTCGCACAAAACTAATATACCCTTTTACCCTTTGGGTACAGGGTATAAATATGGCAGCAGAAATTATATTTCATTATTTAGTGTTAAGCAATTATGATTGACAAGAGTATTAAATAGTCTCAAAATGAATCTTCAATTATATTAATAAATCGGCTAATATTTTTCTTTTTCAAATGTTTGTTGTAATAAATTTAAAAAAAGTGTACCATTTGGCAAATGTGAATAAACAAAGTCCAGGAATGATGAAAAATCACTAATAGTGGGAAAGCAAAATCCACACTCTTGTCCCTTCTTGCATATAGGAGAGTCTGGATACTTTCTGGGATGCTTGCGTTATAATATACATTTATACTTTGTAGGATTTGCAATGCCCTGTTTTGTTTGTTCTATACATTTGCCCTTAAATAGTATAGCCTCATACCGTTAGGTACACGAAATGTTTCGTTTGGGTTCTATTTTAACCAAATTAGTTATCACAAATCTATGAAATTTTGGTTTGTTTCAAATGTTCACAAAATAAACAAAATATACACATTTTTTGTGTTGGCTAAAATGCGTAGTAATCTCATCTATGATGTGGCCTTTGAAGAGCTAGCAGGTCAGCAGCAGGTTCAAGGGAAATCTGGTTAATACTTAGCAACATTTTGATTTATTTTAGTTAGAAAAATTGCTCACACTTCAAGTCCAAGGTCAGTTTTGCCACTTGCCACTAATTGAGTTACAAAACGCGGAGCTTAGGCGCTCGCAAAAAGTTCTTGTCAACAAAACACGCGCGTGCCGCTATTTTTTGGCTTTTCTTTTGGCCACTTACACAATCGGCACATAATATAAGTATTGTATTTATGTGGTTGGCCAAAAAAGTTGACAGCGAATAAATGTGTAGCCGTAACTAGTTTTTCGGCTGCCTTGAGGTTGGTACCGTGCGGGCCAACGACCAAACGCAATTTGTTGGTCGCGCTTTTATTTGGATTGCGCCAAAGGGCTAACTACCCATGGCACAGAGTAGTGCCAAACAAAACAACAAAACAACAAAAAACAAAAACTGCAATAAATTGAATGAAAATTTACTTTTGCTTGGATTTAATTCATTTGCAAGGTCAACGCGTCAAGTGGTCCTCGTACCGAGTTGAGAAGCACGTTTCCCCTTTGCCCAAAGACTCGATTTTAATTACATGCGAGCATTTAATGTGATCATTCCTTTATCGGTCGTTGTCTTGTCCTGTAAAGTGTGTGCTTTCATTACCTGAAGAAGTATTTGTCGGGCTCACTAAACGAATTCTGCGGCAGATCAATCGAGAAGATAACCGAATTTTTACGTTTGCCTTTTCTGCTGTTTTTGGCCAACATTTTTGCTTTTTCAAATTTTATTCACCAGCGCCTATTCAATTTTCAATTAGTAGCTAATTTGGCTTTCGACTTATCAGTTGTCTTGGGCTGCCGCTTTGAGCCTTTCGTGCTGCGGTTCGCGCGATTGTCCGGTCGAAACTGATTTGTTATTGCGGCATGAAACTTTCGTCGAGCCACGAAATTTTATATTTTATGTGCGTGTGTGTGTGTGTACACGCCAACGGCTAGAAGGTAGTCCATAGCCGTAGCTATAGCCGGGCTGAGCACACACAGTTCCTTCAGTTAGCTCGGCTTACATGTACGGGTAAATGCAAACAAAGCATTGAAGGACGCAGCGTACGACCAACTACGATGACGACGACGACAAGGCAGCAACGGATATCCTTTAAGGCGTTTGTAGGGTCGGTGGGCCAGCTTGGAAGGCGCCCAAACCCTTGCCACATGCCTCGCTCGGTAAATTTATTGACGCATTTATGAGTGGCCCGGTCGACCAGCACGAGGCCCACGACGACCACCAAGATAGGGGCTCACGTTCCCTAAAGTTTTGCGCCGCAGTTGTGATTCGACACATGCTGAAAACGTGCGGTTGTTGTTGCTCCTGCTACTGTTGTTGGGGTTTCCGACTATGCAAATTTATCTGCCCAATGGGGCGTATGTGAAATGCACGTGCTTTTTCCTTTTGGAGACTTTACAGACAACACAAAAAGTTAGTAGGGGAAACGTTCATTTTTCTGAGAGTATACAAACTAAGTTTTAAGTTAATCAGATGAAAATTGTAGATTTTTCATACAAACGTTGGAGCCTGTTTCCCCCCTTTGGAGCTGGAATTTTTCAAAATCCCTTCTTAGTAGACACCTACACTATGAAAACTTGAGTCCAAATTTCAGCTTCCTAGCTTTTACCGTTTGGGCTGTACGTTGATCACGAAATGATATGATAATGAAACTTAGCATACACACATTTTCACTAACTGGAGGTACTTGCCAAATTTTAGTTCGAAATTCCAAGAATTATGGGAGTTATAGAAAAGAAGAGGAGAGGGGGAAGGAAGGAAAATCCAAAATACACAGGCATCCTGGACTAAAATTTGGTGGCCTTATGGTCTCCGAGATATAGGTGATTATACGAACTCATCGGGAAATCCCCCATAGGGCGGAAGTGAGGGGAAAATCAAAAAAATAAAACAAACTTGCACAGCGTACACACATAAGGCACCTTTGTGCAAAATTTGGTGTCTCTAGCTCTTTGCTCTCTTGCTAGATCGACTCGTCTTGTTACCCTTTTCAAGAATATATATATAATTTGTGGGGTCTGCCACGCCTCCTTCTTCCTGTTACATTTTTCAGCTCGCGCAAACCTAATATACTCTTGTAAGTACATTTCACGTACAGAGTATAAAAATGGTATTACAATCTATCTACACTACAAGTTATGGATTAACCTATTACAAATCTAATTCAGTTCCAAGAATTCAAAATATTGATATGCTGAAGGTTGTGAATATAAATTTTTTTTTAAATATGTTCACACGATTTGCAAAAGGGCGGTGGGAATGGCATTATAAAAGTCAACGTTTTACGGGCAGAAATAAGTTTGTCCGTATTTTTATTCGATTTTATTTAAATCAGCACCGTTTTCTCGAAAGCATTCAGACTTTCAGCGCTTCGTAATGTACTCTATGTACATATGTATATTATTTGTTTAATTTTTAAAAATAATTTTATTCTTGCTTTGTTCCAATTTTTGACTATTTTTTATAATATGAATTTATTTTATTTGCACCCTTCCTTATAATTAATACACATTATATGGCACGCATATGTACTATAGATGCATATGTTTAGAATAAGGAAGTTGTTATTACATGCACATATAGTATTAGTATTAGTGAGGAATTTATGTCGTCACTAACGCGTGCTTTTTAATTGCTCATTTGAATAATAGCCTAGCAAATGGCAGTTAAGATCGTATATGCTTACCACTTGATTCATTATGAGCGCCTACAACTGCCACACATGCCATGGTTGTTCAATTCTGCGGCCCTGCTTTGCTGATTCTTCACGCGCGTCACGCTATTGTGGCACAACACCCACTCGTAAGTGAATAAATTAATTCAAGTGGTAGAACCTTATCATATCATTAAATGCATTAAAGTTTACTAGTGGCTAGCTGTAGGCAGGTAAATTGTCAAGCCTCTTTTATTTAAAATATATGTATGTAAGCTTTCAAGAGATACAAGAGATTTCAATTTTCAGTAATGTATTAAATTTATGGAATTAAACTGCCAATATAGGAAGGTAGTAGGAAACTAGCTTAAAAACAAGATAGAACGCTACAGTCGAGCAAGCCCGGCAGTAAAATAGCCTGTACTCTCCACAAAAAGGAAAAATTAAAAAAAACGGAAGTTATAAGAAAAAATACGAATTGCGGGGGATGGGGGGGGGGGGGGGTGTAACAGAAAAAATAAATAAACTCGTTCTGCCTAGGGCTTATAGGAACCTTGATACCAATTTTGGTTATCCTAGCTCTTGTACTTACTGAGATCCTTGCGCTCATACAGACAGACGGACAGACGGACAGACGGACATGGCTATATCGACTCGTCTTCTCATCCTGATCAAGAATATATATACCTTGTGGGGTGTGCCACGCCTCCTTCTGTGTGTTACATACATGCGCACAAAACTAGTATAGCCTTTCACCCTTTGGGTACAGGCTATAACAAGAAAAATAAAAATCAAAATATTGTGGAAGGCAAAACGTAGTAGAGAACACAACACTGCACAATTACAAAAGACGTCTTCTTTATTCGGTGACTCGTCAGAGACTGAGCTCGAGCGAATTGCTCGAGCTACAGGGTACAGCGAGATCGGGAAAACAGTTGATAGGGTTGCCAGAGTTCTTATGTACATACTTATCCTACTACAATATGTATTTTTAGAGATATTGAAAAAAGAAAATACGTAAACATGGTGAACGATTTTGAATGTACATTGCCCAACGGTAGAGATGTTGTAGAGCATACAACATACGTATACCCACACAGATAGCTAAATGCACGCAATAGGTTTTAAAAAATTATGAAAAATGGAAAATTAATATTACTCCTGCTTCGCACGGGCATTTTTACAAAAAATTTACAAATTATACCTTTTATAACACACACACTTAACACACATACATTTGCTATGAGGCCTTGGGACTACCGGAAATTGAAGCCATATAAATGATCAAATGGGATCATCGGTATCCTTGTTATATGAGCTAGTTGACCAGTTGTTGGGCCGTTGATAATAGTAGCTACACTTAAATTGCCCTGCAATTCCTTAATAATTAGCCTCGTCCCATTGCACATGCTTGGAAGGCTTTAATTTCTCAAAAGCATGATTGCAATTCCGAATTTTAACGTCAATTAAAGATAGGGGCAGCACTTGGGCAGCGCTGGAGCAGCAAATATATTTATGGCTATAACTTCTTGTTAAATCAGTCTATCATAGTGGCATACGGACACATAATAACTAACTGGGGGTATTTTCCGAATTTGAGTTCGAAATTCCAAGAATTACGGGAGTTAGAGAATTTGCATGGGAGAGGGGGGAGGGAGGTAATGCTTTAGTGTTCCTAGGTCTTATAGTCTCCGAGATATAGGCGATTATACGAATGGAAAATCGGGAAAACCCTCATGGGGGGGGGGGGGGGGGCGGGGAAGTGCGGGGGAAAATAAAAAAAATAAAACAAACTTGCACAGCGTACACACATAACGCATCTTTGTGCAAAGTTTGGTGTAGTAGTCTCTGAGATCCAGGTGTTCATACGGACAGACGGACAGACAGACAGGGCTAGATCGACTCGTCTCGTCATGCTGATCAAGAATATATATACTTTGTGGGGTCTGCCACGCTTCCTTCTGCCTGCTACATTTTGAGCTCCCGCAAACCTAATATACTTATATATTTTAACAATATTTTAATTATTTTTACATATTAATACTTCTAATGTATTTGTTCTGTAACAAATTGAATTGTTTGATTTTCTTTGATTTGAGAGAGTGTGTTTGTGCAACAACAAATAAAGGTTTTGATTTTGTTTAACTGTTATGCCGCGTCGCGGGTTCGTGTGTGTTTTGCTTCTCAAAAACATTAATTCTTTCCTTAAATAGTTTATAAGTTAGTTTCTTAGAAACCTTATATCCCATTTTAGCCCCCTTTGAAATTCGAAAACTTCTCGCTTACCTAAGTTGAGTCAAAATTTCAACTTCATAGATCTTATACATATATAGATGATATAGCTAATAAGTTTGATGTTTCTTTTTTATATGACACAAGAAGGGGCATACAGATGGACCACTTCATCGTTCGGACATAGGGTATAAAAATATTATTATTTAACAATTTTTGTCTAATTATAAAGGATTCATTTTCATCCATATAGTAATGGAAAAACAACCACCAAAAACAAATCCTCAAACTTATAAACAAGGCGATTCTTTTTGTTTAAAGGACTAAAAGTTTTGAATCCGATTTACCGGAATGCGTAGTAAACTGCTTTTGTGTGTTGCAGAGCAACAAAATAATAACAACAAGCCAAATACAGCAACAAAAGTAATATTATTGGACAGAAATTTCCCCTGCATGAAGCAGGACATATTGATGGTACTTACTTGCCAGCTGTGCCACCACTTCCAGCCGTCGAGCCGCCTTGTCCATCCGGCGAACGTCGCTTGGCATCTGCCTTGAAATCGTCGCCGGCGCTAGGCATGGCTGCATGGCCGCCCGAAGCTCCAGCTGTTGCTACCTCCTGCAAATTGGCACTGTCACAGTCAACTTCTGGCAAAACTGATATAGCACGTGGTGCAGCAACAACACTAACCCGTTCCACGTATGCTGCCGTTGCTGTCGCTGCTTCCGTTGCCTGTCCGTCTGCATTCACTACCGAAACGGCTGCTTCAATTGGCTGTGTTGGCGGCACCGGCGACTTCTGAAGTTCGCTGGTACCTCCCAGGACCGCGTTGCTGCCATCGGCAGTGCCATTTCGAGATGCAGATTCCCCCGGCTTTGCTACCACAGTGACCGCACTGGGCGTTGGTGATGCACCGCTATCTGACGCCAAGCCCATATCACTTTCAAGCGTCTTCAGATCGGTTAAATTCTCATTTATGGTCTTTTGTATCTCATCGGTGGCTTCAGTCACGGTTTTCTGTATATTTTCCAGCGTCTTTTGCGATTTCTCCAAAATGGCTGCGGGTAGTGTGGCACCATCAGCAGCGGTAATTAGCTGACCAGCGCTGCTTAGCTTAGTAAGATGAGGTGGCGTAGCTGCAAGAAAGATCAACAATTACGATATCATTGAAGAGTGGTTAATAAACTAATCATGGGTTGCAACATGTGGAACCTAAAGTGAACCTGAACTTACTCGTTTCAAGCGGCGACTCCGGCACTGTCGGGACTTTCCGACTTTGTGCAGAATCAGCGCGTTTTTTGTTGCTCATTAGGCTTAGTCTAGAGCTCATACGCACTAGTGTGGACATATTGGATCCCTGGCGTCGTATGCCGGGAGTTGGTGGCGTTGGTACCTCGTTGGTAACCGCAGGCACTACTTCAGCCGCTTGGAGGACCGCATTGCTGACTTGAGCAGCCACCGGTGCAAGTGCTAAGCCCTGTTCCAAGGAAGGTTTGTCCGATATCGGGGGTTTTGAAACGTTTGCACTGGCTGCAGTTGAATTCTTGGACTGCTGCTGCTTCTCTGTGCCGCTAATATTGGTGTTCTTCTTGATACTTTGCTGAGAACCGGCTCGCTGTAACATCTGTTCCTTGGCATTTGGCGTAGGAGACTTGGTTTTTGCTTTGCTTTGGTTAATAGTCGGTTTTTTTTCCTGACTCTTTGAATTACTTTTCAACTGCCCGTTACTTTGACCCTTGCCTCTACTCTGCTGTTGTGCCATCTCCCGTTTCAGTGTACTGGGCTGCTTTTTGGTGGTTGCCTGTGGTTTGCTCACCGAAGATGGAGTCCGCTGAGCACTTGAAGCGGTTTTTCGCGCCGTTGATGGCGTCTTTTTGGCACTTGCAGGTTGTTTGGAATTCGATTTTACGCTAGAGGCAGTAGGTGTACTTTTGACGACCCCTTTTCCCGTTAGTGGTGACCTCGACTTTACTGGTGATTTGGAGCTTACATGTTTCTTGGAGGGAGAAGGAGTCGGTGTTTCATTCGTCTTTCTCATTGGTATTCGTGAACGTGAATTCCGTCTCTGATCCAGTGCTGGCGTTTTACTACGCCCAGGACTGCGTCTGCTCACCGGGCTTAAGGACTTCTTGCGGGCCAATGCAGCAGATCGTGGCTCGGATCCAGTACCAGATATAAGTTGACCACGTGGACTTAGTGAGATAGATTTTCTACGATTGGGGGTCGTGCCACGGCTGCTGCGTGACATGGACATGCCGGCGGGTGATATGCTCGAAGAACGCAGAGAAGAACGGATACTAAGACGTGAATTGGCCCGTGAGTTAGCCAGTTCACGTGCTTGTTCCATACGGGAGCTAGCTCTGGACGGTGGGCCACGTGAGCTAGCTCTAGACGGTGGGCCACGTGAATTTGAACGCGATTCAGCGTTGCGGGGGCTTAGTCGAGTAGGACTGAATCGTGAAGGCGAACGGCTATTGCTACCGCGCGAATTGCGTCCTGATGATGGTGGTAGGGTTGCGGCAAAGTCTTTTAGAGGCGAGCTGGCGCGAGAGCTGAGTCTAGACTCTGGCCGACTGCGCACTGGTATACGGGAGAACGAATCACGGCGTGTACTTAGATCGGAGGGCGTATCAGCGCCGGTGGGAGTCATTTGTGCAGCTTCATAAGCGACTCCATGCAGCGGACTCTGCGGTGTGCTGCTGTCTTTGTTAGGCGTGCCAATAATTGGAGACAGCGTGGTGGGCTTAGCAATCTTATTGCGTTTTGCCTCCTTAATCCCATAGACAGACTGGCGTTGTGGACTGGTGCCAGCTTTTTGTGTGGGCGGCGCATAAATGGACTTCCGGCGCATAGTCGTAGTTGTTGGCAGTGTGGTGAGTGTGGGACGGCGAAAGCTAAAGTCAGAGGTGGTCACACTGCTCAAATTTGAGCTACGGCGATCGGATACGGTTTGCGTGGAGCTTCGACGCTCGGGCGATGTGGAACTAGAGCGACGCCGTGACTGTAGACGGAGTGGCTCTAAGGCGGGCTTGCTGTTGCGTCGACGCTGGCTCGTTGCCAAGTCATCCAGACTGGACCAATTGGAACGCAGGGGTATACGTGATAGAGACTCTTCTCTATTAATAACACGCAGCAATCCGCGTTGCTTGCGCGTTGGATTAGGATTGGGCCTTAGTGGGCGTGGCACTGCACCTGGTGGTATACAAGCGGTCTCGCGACTCAGCTCGGTGTAAGAGCGATGGAGACGTGGAATAGCACTCCGATAGGGATCCGTAATAAGAGGCAATGCATCCATGCTTTTGTTAAACGGCAGTGTTGGCGACGGCGTCTGGTAATGTATAGAACCACGTCGTTGGGCGCGTGGTGTATAGGTATCCACCGAAGACGTTAATGAGTCCCGTTGTTGCAGAATTCCTTTTTTGGGCGTGAGTAACTTGCTAGGACTGTACCGGCCGCTCATGTTAAACTGCACCGATGGACGCGGCGAGTCGTCATTAATACCCTGCAGCTGCGGCTCGGATTGAAAACTGTGTGGTATGGCGGGTACAGCGACGGCGGGCAAACGTGTACCGCTCAGGGACTTACGGCGAGGTTTAACCTGCGGCTTAATCGGCAATGAAGAGCTAGTTGTAGTGGACTGTATGGAAGCGTGTCGGATGGTCGGAGGTAAGCGTTGTTGTGGTACCGGCGAGGTGGGCGTAGAACGCTCCGATATGATGGTGAATGCAGTCTTCTTATGTAGCCGGGGCTGCTCCACACTAAAAAGAGAAACAAAGTTAGATTTCTCAAAGCCTTTAGTCAACTGCACGCCTACCGATAGTCCCCGCCCACGGCTATAGAGTCTTTTATAATGACCGGTGACATTTCACGCTGTAAGCTATAAAGCTGACGGTGCAAATCCTCCTCCTTTGACTCTGCCATTGTGGACACCTTGCTGCCACCACTTTGACTGCGCTGCTGAGGAGGCGGTGCTGCCGGTGGTGGCGGCATATGATAGTTTTCCAATAATTGCCGCTCATAGGCAGCATTCAAATATTGCTTGGGTGAGAGTATGATATTGCTCGTTGGCGTTGGCTCTCGCTCTGCCGGCACTTGCAAACGTTCCTCACCACCACTGCTTGAGCCATTAGAATCCTGCAGCATTGTAGCTAGTGGTGAACGTGGCATCTCTTCTTGCTTCATAGACATAATCATTTTCGAGCTGGGGCGCAGTTTTGGTATACGACTGAACTCCGGAAATCGCTGAGCTGCTGGCCGGAACCATTCAGTGCTGGAGTAGGACTCATTGGAGCACTGTCGCAGTATATGGATGCTAGAAAATAATATTAAAATAATGAGTTTCGAACTAACGAAAATTAATCCTCTAACTAAAGTTAGGAACATGACAGCTATTAGTATAACTAGATGGGCCAAAACCCTGCTACAGACTTTTGGCAACAGCTACCATATTCCCTTACATTTTTGTAGTCGTTGAACATACTTGGCGAGCTGTGATCCGTGGGGTGAATACTCATTTTCCTCTTCTTTTTCTATTTGCTGCTCCAGCTGATCCGCCTCATAGAGATCCGGCTTATTAAGTATGTCCTGCGGCGCGAGCAGCGTAAAGTTCGGCGAATCCAGCTGCTGCTCCGAACTGGAGCCACCGCTGGAATTGGGCAGTATTTGTATATCAGGCGGCTGCAGGCGTGGTATGGACATGGACTGTCTGCTGTAGGGCACATTGGAGAAGAGTCTGCCGCCATCTAGCGTATTAAGCGCCAGGGCCGCCACTAACGCATCCTCATCTGAGCTGGGCATTTCCACAGACGTGCCACGAAATGTCTCGAATACGCCGCTCCCAAAGTAATCTTCTGACTGCAAGGGAAACGGCGGAGGTACTGGGTCACCAAACAGGCTGCTGTACTGTTGTTCGGAGTCGTCTGGGAGCGTTCGCAGCTCCAGTTGTATACTCGGCGTCTTCTGCTGACGACTGTAGCTGCTGCTGGTGCGGGCCGATGGCGGCATTATGCTCGGATAGCTATAATCCACAGATATTATGGCCGGAGCATTTCCTGTCGAGCGAGGGCGTGTTGTGGTCGTGTGAGTGTGCGTTGGTGCTGATGTCGGGGCCAGTGCATTCGCTGCCACCATAGTTGGCGATGCATTGGGCGAGGGTGATGATGAGTAGGAGGACAATGTTTGCTGCATGATTTGACATTTGGGCTGAAACTAAGGCACGACTGCGACGGAATCAAATTAAATGGTGCATCTGACCAATGCACCGTCTTTATAAATATATATGTCCTTAAGCGTAATCAAGCCTTTTACACAACAATGGAGCGTCCAGCTCTCGAAGGTTAAGATTTCCACCATATGGCTTACATTTGATTTTCAGAAGTCAAGGCCTGTTTAAGTTTCCTGTTTTTTTCTTGCATGGTAGATGCAACTTTTCGCCTCTTTCTCTCTATTTCTGTTGTTATTTTCTAGGCTATTACTTCCACATCACCTAAAGTCAGTTCAATGGCTTTTCAGTTTTTTCACTCCATTCTGGCTTTGTTTCCCTTTGGTATTTTCATTCACTTTCACTAAAGTGTGCGGTTTCTGCTTTGTGGAAGCTCTTTTTCAGTTCACTTTTATCTGACCGGATGTAATTTCTCTTAGTTGATTTGATGGTCTCTGCAGCCATCGAAATGATTATGTATGTATATGAAAACTTTATTTATAGTTATTTTTTATATTGCACTCGGTTAAAGATTATAGAGTACGATTCAGAAAAAACCATGAAGCACAGTTAAGAGGAAGAGCTGATTATCCTGCAAAAAAATTTATAACGTATACATTATTATTCTTAAGACGTGTTATTTTTATACCCTGTACCCGTAGGGTAACAAGAGAGAACGCTACAGTCGAGCAAGCCCGACAGTGTAATACCCTGTACCCAGGTAAACTCCCGTCACTGAGTTACATGCGCCCATAGCAGCAGCAAAAAGAGGAAGAAGAGCGAACTTGTTGCTGCAGTTTGGGGAGGTTGTACTGGCGAGAATTTGTTTCGCTAATAACTTATACATAATTTTATACAACAGTATATAATTATATATAAATGATGTGTGCAAAGTTTGGTTTAGGTAGCATTTGAAATGTGAAATTCTCTCTTCCTCTTTTTGCTGCTGCTATGGGCGCATATAACTGACGGAAGTTTACCTGGGTACAGGGTATTACACTGTCGGGCTTGCTCGACTGTAGCGTTCTCTCTTGTTGCATATATAAGGTCGATAAAGTAAAGTGAATCGAATTTTAAGGAAGTTTTATTTCAATAAAATAGCAAAACAATATTTCTGCCGCATGGGTTTAATTATACCCTTCACTGGAAATTGTTGGGTATGGTAAGGAAGAGTAATATAATCGTGTTATCCGACAGGAAGAATTGAAATCGCGAGATCCGTCTGTTTGTTTTAATGACCAATTCTCCCACAGATTTAGAGCAACGGTTATAAAACATTGAACAGAAGCATTTTTAAGGCTACAGTAGCTAGGTCGAGACCGACCATAATAGAGTGCTAACTCTATATATACATAGTAATATAATACACAGAGAAGGGTATATTGCCTCGACATGGATACCAATAACTTTTTAGCTCGATTTCATTTCGAATCCAGGAATTTTTATTTTTTAAAGCAATTGAGCTTTTTACGATAGAAAAATTCACTTTTCTCGTGTAAACAGAAATGTTATTTTGTTGTGTGTGTGCCAAACAAAAGTTATTTGTTTTGATTAGCTGACATGGAAATCAATAGAAATGTTGGATTGAAGTCAGAGTCACGCATTCGTAAGCCATACTCCTTGAAGTGCTCATTTTTAATTTTTACTAGTTTCAAAAAATACCTGTATTAACAAAACAAGAGAAAGTGATGTTGTTGAAATTAAAGCCATACGGCTTTTTATAATTTAGTGATACACTTTGGCTTTAAAACAAAATGACAACAATAGCAGCAACTTTCGATTTGGAGAAACAACAACACTTGCCCACATACACACACATTCACACCCACACAGCCTGTCAGATGGCTCAGACATAGACCTTCCTGCTGGCCATGTACACGCGACGCTACAAACGCGCAACCGAAGACAGCAATAGGCAAAATGCAACTGAAAGCCTGAAAGAAAATTTGTTCATTGCCGTTGCTCAAAGCCAAAACTTACTTGCAAAAAATAACAGTAATTATTATTACTATTATTGTTTATAATGGCATTTCACGGCGTCTATAAATAATTGCGTTTGTTTCTTGATAAAGACAAAGACCGGCAATGCACACAAATCAGACATCTATCCATGCACAAGACCGACAGGTGGGAGGGTATATATACTCTAACATACATGCATACATATGTGTATTAGCGTCTTTAACAGCTCAGCGCGTTTTTCAAACATTTTGCTAACGAGAGCAGAAACTTGTTCTTTTTGTGTGTGTGCGTGTATGTGCGATATAGTGTTTGTCTAATGATGAGCACGTGAGCAGTGAACTGCTAATGATGAGCATTGCATGTGGCCAGCCAGCCAAGCCAGCCAAGTTAGCCAAGTTTGCATGTTGCAAATTGCCACATAAATGACTGCACTTGAAGTCTTGACTTGGTCTATGAAATTGTCGAAGAGTTTCCATTCAATATGCATTTAGAGTAACATGCAAGTATTAAAATGCAAAAATATTGGTTTTGTGGTTTTGTGCACAAAAGCCATGCATTGAATTGCTGCCGTTGCTTTTATTCTTCTGTTATAACCAATATGTTAAAATAATATATAAAAAGAAAGAATTATAAGTAGGCGGCCATTAAAATGGTATGAATGAAAAGATAACATCTCCTGGCATCAAGGACCTGCAACCTTGCTTTTCGAAAAATGTACAAGTATAGACAGGATGTTTATGGCCAAGGGTAGCAAGATTTCAACTTCGTCTTTTCCCATATTAGAAGAATATATTCAACGAATTTGATTACTATGCAACAGTAGCAGTATGTACAAGTAAATTTCAAATATCTTCCAACCAACAATGACAGCTAAATGGTCTACATTCCAGAAGAGAACGAGCGAGGCGAGCACGGTTAAACTAATCTTCATTTATGCAAGCAAAAAATTTACAAATTAAAAGACAAAAACAGCAATATGAATTAACTTTAGGGCACTACTACTTATAGTAATTACAAATTGAAATTGATTTAACTTTAGAGTAAAAAACTTTCAATTCGGAAAGGAAAGAAAATAAAGAATTTCCAGTTTATTAGATGTGGGACATGTTTAATAGTTTTTTGAAAATATTAATTTTTTTTAGAACAAAGAGCTTCTTTAAAATTTCTGCAAAAGCGTCCCTTATACTTAGTGTTCTCTGTTAAAATATTTATTTTTGAAACTACTTTGGCAGGGTGCTTTCTTCAAATTCTTCAGCTGTGGCTGAATGCTTTGTGGAAGGGCCGGTGCCCCCATTAATTTTCCTTTAACATTTAAGCGACGATGTTACTGCACTATTACGACTATGGGCCTTAATATTTAACCTACTTTCTGCGTGTGGAACTAACGACACGAATTTCGGCGTCACAATTTGCCACCCAGGATATGTAGCCAGTGGCTGTTCATACGGCTATGGACGTCCTGAAAAGCCGGCTGTATGGCCAAGTCACACGTTTTTGTTTTCTTTACGCGCTAAATTTAGTTTCGCACATTGATTTTTTTGGCGTCCACTTGTTTGCTTTTATTGTTGTTAGTGTTGCCATTTTTTCATTTAAATAAGCTACATGTAACAGCCGAGCAAGGTTTTTACGAAAAATTGGGCCATAAAAAGGTGTCGCACAACGTTAGTTTCTTTTACTTCATTTTGTGTATTTAACTTTTATTAAGTGCTTTGTAATTGTAACGGCCGCGTTGACTGCTAGCTGGATTAGTGTCACAGATTCGGGTCAGAGAAATGATTTTATTCCAGTACAGAAATTATGGAAGCCAACTTCTTTCTTTAATAAAATATTGGTAAAGCAAAGATGGATTTTAAACTCCATATTTCCTATTTATTCAAATTATATTATTAAAAATTTTAGTTAGAGATCAACATTAAAGATCTTAATCAATAATATGCGGTATGAATACGCTTAAAAGTTTTCAAGTTTTTCTCAGCATGTTATTTTTATGTAGCTAATACGTTAATTCGTTTTAGGCCCCACACACAATTTTTAAAACATATTTGTGTTATACATTTTTAGAAACAATTTCACGATGAACTGGCTTTTTACACTGAAACCCTGCATATTATGCGTTGTTTTTTAGCTAACACCATTTGTTATGCAGAAAATCACTATTTAAATGTATTTAAAATATTAACACCACTTCTTGTTTTGTATCTCATGAACAATTATACAAAAAAATTTTTATTATTATATAATACCACCAACGATTTTGTTGCAATTAGATTTTCAATAATTTGACTCGCTCTCAATTTTCGTTCATTTTAAAGCCAAAACAGAACTAACCGAGCGACGCAAACAAATATAAAAACAAATGCTAATCGATGCACAACGCAACGACAACACACCTCAACGCCAACTGAATGGGCAGCACGCGGCTGTTGAGCCAAGACAGCAACACAAAAAGAAACTTTCCTTACGCTCTCCTAAATACCAGAGCAACAAAAGTCGAGCGCACGCTTAGAATCGCACACAAACTTTAAGGACCGCCATGCGGCATTTGAAGTGTCGTTGAATTTTCGTACGCACACAAACTCACAAATGCTCAGAACTAAACAATAGTGAGCTCTTGCTTAATTTGAATTCGCCGCAAATGTATATTCGCCGCTATGCACATTGCTCTTTCTCGTGCGCTTTTCTGTGTTGTTTGCTTTAACTTGTTTGTAGGTTAAATGAGTTTTCGGCGCCGCTTATAATTCGCTTTGGCCACACTTCGCTAGCACCTGTTGTTGTCTCTTCGGCACGCGATATGCAGACGACGACATTCTTAAGTATAGATGTGCATACACACACAAGCAAACATATGTACTTGTAGTATACTAGATATTTTGTTTATTTCATGAGCTGTGTGGGGAGTAAAGGAAACGTTGCATAGTTTTAGGGATCGCAGAATGTTAATGCCAATTATACTGTATAAAAATAAATCTACATATTTATTTTGTTTACGCATGATTTTATGGTATTATAAAGATTTAACACGACA